GACATATGTCTTCCCTGAACCTTGCGGTTTCCCCCTCTTTGCCAACATGGTTTTTCAAGCATTGATCAAAATTGTACATTGTGTTCATGTATTAAGGTTTTAAAATTATTAACATCGTCTTCCAAGTATATATTTTCTGCTTTTGGTGTTCTTCTATGGGTATTTACAGTTCATAAATCGTAACATTTTAGGGGTCGATGGTTTAATGGTATAATTATTCCAAAATGTTCCGATTAAGCTTACATTTATCAAATAGCCATTTTCTGAGTTATGTGAGGATGTTATCAATTTAGGCCTGGTAAGAAAAAGGCAATACGAAACTGTTGCCATTGTAAACGCATTAGTGATATGATCCGGGTACAAAGTCAATCTATGGAAAAATTGCAATGTTTGTTTTGCGCCATCAAAGTGTACATCTGCGAGCCATTATTTTGCCGGTCATTTTTTTCGGGTAATCGTGATAAAAACACGTTCGAGTCTTGGAAATCTTTCTACCAGATATGGTTTTGAATGAACTTAAAATCACAATGAAAAACATCCTGTAACCCTTTTCTAGGATCCGTAAGAGATGATAACGCACAATATAGCTATAGACTTCAAGACTAAATCATTGAACATCAAGTCAACATTTTCCGACCTTTCGACTTAGACCAATCACTAAATCAGCAATGTTTCCTATCTTTGACCATATCAAACATTGTGTTTGCACAGCTAGAAGAGATACCATGGGACTTAATTAGAAAGAAGTAGATGAAATAATTTATAACTCTATATGCAATTTAGAAGATTACCTGATATTGACGTATTGGTAAATCAAGTAAATAGGTAGTTTGCAGCGGACTGCATGTAGCATATATGGGCGGCTTGCTCAATATACTATTAAACCTATTATCTTCCATCATAAGAGTTACTCTGATTTTCCCTAATCGATAGCCATATTCGCTGCTTTAAATCAGTTGTCAAATCCACTTTACTCTATTATTACTAAGCCATGGAAATTATTTTTCGATGTCGTTGGATGTCGTGGTTGATTAGACCATATAGGAGTCGTTCACTTGGACTTGCTTTTCCTTGTTCACCGGTGTCATAATTCATGTTATAAACCTAATTGACTCGATTGTAATAGTGGCTTTGAGTTCTCTCAACTCTGTCAAAAATGCAATAATGTTCAAATCAAGCTGAGGTTTCAATAATATTTTCAATTTCATCTCGTGTACGATCTGGGTCAACGTGTATTTATTATCCTTCAATATTAATCTAATGTATACCATCTTTCATATTCCGACAAATTGAACTCCAGATTGGCATCAACCCCAACGCAATACGAAACTCCACTGCTTCCGATCTCTCTTAGGGAGAATCCTTAATTGAATGCCAAAACGACTGATGTTCTCAATTCTAATGTACCATCAGTCAAATATAAGACACACTGAAGGAAAAGTATATCGAAACATTTTCCCTGTTGATATAGCTTAATATGAAATATCCCATTGAATACTAATTTAACGTTATCATGTATCTCTTTGATTAAAACTATTGTTTAAAAGGAAAATGGGTAGTTACATTGATATTTTGAACAAAACATACATCATATGTTTTATTTATTGTTTTGAATCGTCTCAGATTTCTTAAAAAAATCATGATGCGCATTAAGCCCACACTTAAGGTACAGTGTACATTTATATTTGTTTGACAAATCCCACCGAACAAAACATATTTTGATTATTAGTGGCCATCTTGAAAATTCTTTCTTGAGCAGAGCTTGTTTGTCCCTAGGCATCAACATGTAAACCATATCCGTTAATTAGCATTTGAGTTATCAAAGATTACATTTCTTTTTTTATGGAAAATGGCAGCCATTTGGAATTGAGCGGTCATATTGAAAATTCCTTTTGAGCAGAGGTCCTTCACACATAAGGCATAAGCCTATAAAATTTTAATTAATTCTGTCAACCGGTATTCGGACACACTAACGGACGGACGGACGTCTTGTAATATATACTGTAGATACACTGTCCCACATGTTTTGTTAAAGAGCGACTGAAGCATACAATCTTTCCACCAAGATAAACTCAGACCAACATTTGGATATCTACATCATGTAGTTAGATTATAATTGATTTTATTTATTTGTCATATCCAGTATTAAATTATTATAGGTTTAAACCCATATTAATATTGAAGTCATATTGACGGACGGACGGCTTTCCTATATCCCCCTCGAACTTCGTTCGGTGGGATAATAAACATAGTGTAAACTGTCGAAGCGGTCATTTTGAATAAAAATGCATGTATGTATATAGTATCTATATTCGTTTCTCATTAATTAAATTGTAAACCTTCCAGACATTACATCTGACTTTTGAAGTATAACAAGAGATGGTTGGATGACTGGGTGAGTTAAGATAAGTCGGAGGAATGTTTTCTTTCCTTGTTTCCCATACTTCTCAGTTTTACAAGGAAACATGACATTTTGGTTGGTCGCGGAATAAAGAAATGTTGCCCGGTCGTGCTGGTTGAATAACCGACAGAAATTGATCATTCTCTGTTAATGTAAATCTGTAAATTTAGTCTGTCTCATGAATTCTTAAATTGATCAATGTAATTGTAATTTGAGATAAACAAAGAACTGTTTTAAGATCATTTTCTGAAAATACCTTTCTGACTGTAGTTTCACGTATCTGTCTATGCTTGTTTAATGTTACGAGAACCTGTTTGAGCTTGCCATTTTGTATATCACGATCCATCTCTACACCGGGACTAACTACCAAGTATTAGGTTTACAATAATACTGCTGAATACAAGCTACCTGTTTCATCTCGCTCACCTGGTGATATCCATTTGGAAAGAGTTACACTAGTATGCTAGAGGTACTTCCTTTGCTTTGTTCACGTCAAACTTAACTATGTAATAATGCAAGATTCCTATGTCTGGTTGTGATCGCAGCCATCTTGGGGTAGTTAGAAGCTGAGTTTGTGCCAATGTGTATGATTAATACATGTACGTAACAATATATATGATTGAGGATGTCAAAATGAAAATCACTGAGCCATATAAATTCGTAAAGTTGATAAGGACACGGATCATCACTTACAGGGTGGTCCAAAAAAAAGTGAACCCCTGCAACTGGCCATATTTCCCTTATTACTTGCAGGAATTCTTTTTTATTTTCACATGTTGTAGAGGAAGGTCTAAAATTTATGTTGGTACCATACATTTTTCTTAGTCTTGAAATTTGCAGAAATTATAAGCCCTAACCAAACATAACTGAAAATGGACAAATTGTGATTTTCAATATCCGCGATTCTTCAACCCTTTAACACCCTTCCCCTGAGAATTTTTTAAGCTGCAGTCTTAAAGAACTAATATTTTCTGACTTTGTTCAATTTTAAATCCTGCACATTATGGCTTAAAACTAGCATTCTACATTTGTTAGTTGCAAAGTTATTGTGATCCAAAGAGATGTGCTAAGCTTCCACAGACGAAAACATTTTCCAGTGAAATCATGAACATACCCCTATATGATCTTGAAATGTCAATATCTTCATAAATCATGGACCAATTCTAATGATATATGGCTCAAAACATTGAACATTGAATTTTCTTTTGATTTTTTAAAGATATTTGATGAAGGGGTTATCAGATTCCTGGTCACAGGGGGCAACTTCCTTCCATAAGAGGCCCCCCTCTAACTGTTGGTGTAGGTAACATACCCCTGAACTGTTGAACAGTTTAAAATGCTTCAAAATGATCAATGAAAGTGTGAAATGTGTTTTCTGCTTGAATAGTGTCCCTTTTGTCATATGGTAGGGTTTTAAACTTGTATCTCTAACTGAAAGCTGTTTAAAATCATCCAATGTGTTTCAACAATTTCCGTGGATCACATTTGTAAAATTTTGTACAATATCTAATTTCCAGGCATGTTTGTTAAACGCTTGTAATTTCTTCAAAATTTAAGACTGAGAATAAATTATGGCATCAACCAAAATTTTAGACCTTTCTCTACAACATGTGATAATATGAGCCAATTCATGCATGTATTATGAAAAATGTAGCCTGTTGCAGGGGTTCACTTTTTTTGGACCACCCTGTACAACGTTCGAATCATTCGCAATTCATTAACATGAAATAACTTGAGATAAAAGTGAATCGAAAGAATAGCTCAGAAGCGATTGTGGAAAAACTAGCTAGCTCATGATGAATGAAACAAAGATGATGCGATCACATTCAAACAGAGACTGGTACAGATAAACCGTCGGGACGAAGATATTGCTTTGGGCACATCTTGGATTTCTAATCTGATTAAAGACACATCGCAAATCAAGCAACATCGGCGAGAGGCCTTGAAGCTTCAGAAAGTGTGGAGTGCAACCAACTCCAAAGAAAGAAAAATTGACATTACTTGATTACTAACATATCTTATCTCTTCGAGCATGTGACATGTTCGACTATTTACATGTATTTTCCCTCTTTTGTAATTATTTTCCTTGTAAGTTTGAATTAGTATTAGTCCCCCGAGAAACTAGCATAGATTGTTGCATGACATGAAACAGCGTACAATATGCCAACATGACGAGCTACTATGTCTTGATTCGCGGACTACCTAGGTTCATTTATATCGACTGTCCATTCATGCATGTAAGCATCGTCGCTTTCCACTGGGTCTAGAGACTGAGGTAGGAACAATCGAAACCTTGTGAATCAAGATGGCATGTAAAACGATGATACATTTTGCTTGATATAAAGATAATTTGACTTACACTGAGTTGAAACGGAGTGATATAGGTCCCTTATGATAAAGATAGAGCTAAAGTAGTGTATGGATCAGTCTTGAATAAACATTATCATAGCCTCACTTGCTGAAGAACATAATTAATAACATCCATAGCTAATTTATCTCTATCTTTCAAGTTGCTGAACAGAACGATTCAATCCTATATCATAAATCATATAATTCGATGCATACATATCTATGATAATGCCAAAAGTTTACGGCTTACCTTATTGCCGGATCCGGATCGAGGCACCATATCGAACTTCTGTCTATTGAAATGTCACTATCTATCATATATATTGTAACCAGAAATCCATTGGTTCCAAAGCCTTGCGAGAAAAGATCAAAACGCCTACACGCTCTCTGGAACAGTGCTTCTACTATCAACAATAGTCCTACAGTGTTTTGTGATAATCTTATTTTTGAACAATCTTTAGTCTCACGCTATGTTTCAGTTCGATTCCAACAGTGGTTCCATACTCATCTGTCTACGTGAATTCTTTCTCACTTAATGTACGGATAATGGAGGAAATTAGCCTATTTGTATTCTCCTTGTCTTTCTCAATTCGGCTGGTAGTAAAGTCCCAAATGAATAATACAGATGCGACACTTCCTCCTAATTGTGCTTTTAAACAATTAGCCTTTGTAGCATTCTGTTACTTACCACACAGGCAACAATATCACTTCTGGAAACATAAACTTCCAAGATCTAATTAACAATCTGCCGACGCTGGACATGAAAAATATTCCTCCAAATAAACAGTGATTTTATTTGAGAGAGGGAAATCACGATGTTTATATAACAGTTCTGTTGCGTGTCTTTCTATCTATTGCCATTCCTCGTCGATGTTCTACAGGTTTTCTCAAAGTGAAACATGTTTCTATTTGATTAACCCTGAACTTAACAATCGCTTTGTTACTCCTTCCTTACTAACGGCCGGTTCCTTTTAGCTAAGAATATCACTCGCACCTGAATTTGCTTCTTCACGGTCTGGATATTTTTCTCTAATGAAATTAATAGCATTCCTATTTGCCATTTCGTTTGTTTTAGCCCGTTGGTCTTCAAGTGCTTCGAGTTAATAGTAATATACTAAAGTTGTGACCATGGGAATATAAGTTCATAACTGAATAGCTATTCCATGTTCCAGCTCCGAATGCTGACTGGCGGTAAATGCAGAAAGAAATCGTATATCTTCACTAAGACAATTATGCACATACAAATCATTAGAATATTGATCAAATATGGAATGTTCAGTTTTCTCGACCAAGTTTTATGGCCCCTTTCAAATGTTACTCTCGTGATGTTCGTAGTTTTGCCGAGTCCCTTAGGATTGTAGAAAGTTATGAGGATATTCAAATGCTAAAAGTATAGGAATTTTGATTTTGAGGAGTAGTATCTATCATCACAGGCCCCCAGTCTTTCAGTGTTACATTTATCACCTGTCTGATTAGAAATCCTTAGTCGCACTTGACTTAACTAAACTCTCAACTAAGCTAATATAGCCAAGTGTACTTTTCTTTTTTAGAGAATCCAAACACAATAACATGTAGAGAACCCAAGCGGGTACTCAAGGCAATTTTTGCAAGGAATTCAAGAAAATCGAAATAAGAAACGATATACCTTAAGAACGTCAGTGTTCTTCGCTCTCATATAGACAGCTTGTCGTTATAACATGTTCCACTTAACATCACTGCATATCATAATAGACTTTGCTATAGGAACGTCTGAGCTGATACATTATATTCTCCTTGACAGCACATAAATGATACTTTCATTGTTTTATTTGATAATATTGACGAATGTATTATTACCAGTCTAAGTTAACCTTACAGACCGAGGCGGAGTTAAGTATCTTGGTCTCCGCTATGGTTATTAACTTGTGTCTGGTGAAGCTAAAAAGGCTAACGCACTATCAAAGTTCGCTAAATTGAAAAAGAACTTTTGAATGTAGTAGATATAATATATTGAGATGAAAGGTTTATCGAAAAACCATATTGTTTCTTGTCAGGCTCTTAGTTATTAGCGTTGGCGTCTGGATATATAATCATGATCAAATTTGCCAACAAGTAATTTGTTATATTAAATAAGCCATAACGATGGTGGGCCTATGGAGCCTTTGAGCAACAATATAATTGATGACATTGAAGGAATACATAAAAAGGCCATATGTACAAAATGTTACAGCCATTTTTGCATCATCCAACAAAATACATTTAAAGTCGACAGCATGATTAATATTTATAAACATGAATTCTCGTATGGTATGCATAGTGGAAAAGGAGGTTAAATGGAGTCGCAAAATAAAGAAAAGGTAGAAATCACATTGAAACCACAAAACATAGATTTCTCAGTAGCTCTTAGTAATTTTCTCTTTTTGATTCTTGATATTATTACTGAAATTGAGGAAGAAGAAAGGTTCTCGGCGCCAGGCTACCCACCACTATAAATAATGTAAAACGATTGAGTGTATACAGTATTAAACAAGCTATTTATTTATTGGCTGGAGCCTGGCTAATATAATTTTATTTTCTTTCTCACACCAGTTTTCATGGAAAGCAATATAAAAAATATAAAAATTAAGCAATTGATATTTGGCTAACATTCTTTTGATTTGTTACATCTTTCGATATGTAATATAGTTTATTGATGTTTGAGTTTTTTTACTATCAAATCACTTGCCCCTTTTCGATGTTATATCAGTAGAAATATGTCGTGCAAACCCCAGGCTTATTGGCAAATTAGGAGAACTTATTAAGAGTAATTAATTATGGATGATATATCGAACCGTCAGCTCTTCCGAACTACTCTGCCCTTTCTTCCTTAATATGGTCGACTTATCACGAGCCGTGTCGCTCCTTCTCGTGGCTTTGCTGTTAATCAGCTGGACCTCATCAGTTGAATCTATTTCCTTTTATCATGTTATCCAGGGCTCTAGTGTGTCAGCAGTTGTGGAAAAGTTTCGATGAGAACGCTATGACAAATGTTACCAATGGGATTTTTTGTTAAATAGATCATACATTTGGGAGACTGCTTGTAAATCATGCGAAACTGAATGTCTCATGGAATTAATAAAGATATTTCATTTTCACGACTTGTATTCGTCTTCTTTGTAATATTGAAATTAAGTTCTGCATATTCGTTTTGAGGGCATGATCACCCAGGGTGTGTTACAAAAAAGGATTGGTATTCATTAGGAATTCCAAGCTGTGACTTGTATACGACACTGGGGTTTAGAGCTTATTATTATATACCCAATATGTAACACTAATCCTGATTGGTCAATACCTAGTCACGTGTTCCGAAATAGATTTACTATTTCCCTCGGAAAGTTATATTCCCTCAAATGTGACGTCAGCGGGAATATACATTTGAACTATTGCCCGCTGACGTCACAATTGCAAGTTCTATTACCCTTGGAAACGTCTGCGCATCATCACTGCGCAGACGAAAAACCGAAAAATGGAGGATGAGCACAAACACAAATCAACTCCGTTCACCATGACAGACGTGCGTGAACGATACAATATAAGCAACGTGTATAAAGTTCCCTAAGCTCAATACGTCTGTGTAATTTCAAGTGTTATGATAATCTATTCCGCGTGTTAAACGCGATTGAATTTGTCAAGTGAGAGTCTCAGAGGCAAAAATTTCTGTTGAGCATCTGATGACGTCACAGCTTATAATGCTAACAATGGACCCGGGGAGGGGGCTTTCTAAGCCTTTTTGGCCTTCGCAGAGGAAACGGGACAAGAGTCAGTATAGGGTATATAATAAAACAAATAGTGACTGCCTAATTTCGAGCAATAGTGTAAATGATTTCCCCTTGGGAATATCCTCTACAATGTACTATTCCCTCAGCCTGCGGCTTCGGGAATAGTACATTGTAGAGGATATTCCCTCGGGGAAATAATTTACACTATTGCCCTCAATGGCAGTCACTATTTGTATACTAGTATACACATAGTATTTTCGAAAACGAAAAGTGTGTTGAGGACCATAACTCATATGGTCCTCAACACACATTGTTTCTAAATATGCTGCATATAAAATACGCCAAAAACGATCCTCGGTTAAAATCATTTTCAAAGATCACATCCCGATCTTTAATAACCTCCGGATTATAATTGATTATATATCCCTGCGTGATCAACCTCTGATCTGGAGAGATTGATTGGTTAATTATAAGTAGTTTTTCAAGGAAGTAGAGAATTCGGTATAATTCAGCTGAATATACATATTTCGCTATAAGTAAAACTTATGATAGAATAAAGAAACTTCGCTCATCCGTGAAAGCATGACTTATGTTTACGCGTATACGTTATAAATAAGTATAAGGGATTAAAAACAACGTTTTATCAGGGATGGCTCCCTAAAGAGAGCTGCGCGACAATTGATGACGCAGTACACACATTTTATGCGTTATAAACATAGGGGATTGATAGACACGCTATACGTGCGATTGTAAAAATGCGAAATCTATCTTTAATTATTCAAATACGTCTACTAACTTCATTCACTTTAATTCCCTTAACAAATTGTAGAATAGATTCCTAACATAAAATTGCGAAAGGTGAAAGTACGATTTAAGATCAAGAAACATGTCTTAGATCGTTATGCAAGTCTTCATTTATATATTTATGTGGGCGGACAAAACCATGCGGGAAGAGTTGGTGTAGCTATTGAATGCAAAGTCTATAGCTGTAATAGATTAATATGTTGTGGGTGAACTATACGAAATTTCCAAAAGTGAGCGCTCTTATTTTGCGTCTGCCATTGTGCTTTTATAAATTGATGGGTCAAAACTTCACCTAAAACTTGATTCTCGTCTTGATGCGCAAATCAGAGATTCCCAAACATCCATAATATTAACACAGCAGACTGCATCTGTATGTGATAGCATCCTTCCCTTTTCTCTCTTATCTAACTGTCCAATGAACAACTAGGAATCTTAAATTGGGCAGATATGGATAGTGATAAATGAATTACTGTATCTGCATATAGAAGATTTCTATCATTACAATTTAATCAACATGAAAAATTCCATCTTATTGGTATAAATAGATAAATCATGCCCTTATCTGCCATTTACTTGGAACTTAACTACATTTGTCCATCTATCTGTGTCAAATTGTTTATATTTGCTAGGCAATATCACAAAAAGAAATATGTTCCCATCGAGTGATGCGAGCGATGCCGCATCAACATAGATTTTCTTGTCTCTAGTCGATTTTGCATCAGTATTTACATGTACCATCAAAATGCCAATGCAACGATGGAAATCAGATCCAAATCACAACGTCAGATAAAAGGGATTAATATCAATAATAAATACTATTCCTTGAAAGCTATATAGCCGACCAAAAAAATCTCTCATGAACAATTCATATATCCATCACCAATACGCTACTGTAGTATATTCCAACATCCTGAAGTTGGCCATGGACAAGTGGACAATACAAAGCTATGGAAAACGCAATTCATATACATGGCCTCAATATCCCAATAGGCTTTATCAGCAGCTGAGCATTCAAGTGCAGAATCGCCTATGCTAGTTCATTTTTCTGACATTGACGGATGGATATTTAAAACAGATATTTTTCTTGAAGTCATTGTATGATATGATAAGATGTTATATCACACCAAGAAACGCATAGCAAATGTTTCCCCCTCCGGAAACGATCAATTTATTCAAATACCTTATCACTGGATTCCCTTCATCTTAGTGA